GCAGTCACCAGCAACTCATATCTAAAGTACAGAATTACACTTAAAACATTATCAGTGAATGAATGCTTCTACTAGAAATAACATCATTGTCTACATAGGCCAAAAGCCCAGCGGTCTTCCACAAAACTTAATATTCATGTTCCCCAGGGAATAGACTTGGACATACGTGGACCAGGTGTGTGACACAGAAACGACTGTGGGGATTGTTCAGACAAATAAGGTAAAGAAGAAAACATGTAATTAATGTTTTAACGAGTTTCTATCCTTACATTTCAGTCATATAAATTGACTCATGCTTAGAAATCTTCCTAAGGATGTTCACACTCACAATTAAGCAATTCTATCATTTCCAGTAGTTTGTATATTTAAACTAGGTGAGTTCTCTAGCTAAGAAGCAAATAAAGCCAGATTTGCAAAAACTAACAAAGGAAAAAATCTTGATGAACAATTCTTGCATTTCTTTGGAAATGTGGTAAAATCAAAGAAAAATCTGAATGCTTTGACTTTCAAAGATTTTGTTTATTTAACCTTTGGCATTTCCTTGCCAGTCGTCCACCACTCTCCCCTCGAGACGCCTTCCACAGGGTTTTCCTATGATGATTTAACACTGTGTAGTACCCTGATCACTTTGGTAAATCAATCTGGTAAAGTGGATTATTCTAAAACCATGGTGGTAGATACAAGATACATTGCTGGCCCCAATCAGCAATGTAAAAAACTCATCGGAAATAAAATACACTGAACAGATCACACCTTACCTTTTGTCTAGTCCTCATGGAAGGCAGAAATAGAAGTGCTTCCTAGGAGTTGTATGTTATCTAACAAGGTGTTGACAACAGAAGACTAAAAGTATGAACAGGTCTTTGTTGCTAGCTGCCCAATGACCAAATATTGATTCTCTTCCTTATGAATTAAATGTATACACTCATACAGATCCTCGTGTGTATGTAGTGTGTCAGTATGTTTATTTTCAGGCTGATGGAGAGAGGTAGCACTCCTCATGGCTTTTCAAAGAACAAATTCTCTCACCCAAATGTGTAGAATCTTTAACACACTGCAATATTCCTCTTGGACAGTTTTTCTTAATATTTTAAAAATCCAAATGGCTGTATTCTTTCCCAACAGTATCTTTCCCAGTTCACTTTGACATTTTAAGTTATGCTCTTAAAAATAATAAAGTTGTCCAGTTTTACAGTGCCCAAAGTGTTCAGGCTGAAGATGTGATACTGTTTTCTTTGCTGACTGTGACTGCATTCCCAGAACTCGCTGCAAAGATGGCATTCAAGACTGTGCTGATTGGAGTGATGAAAATTTATGTGAATAGAAGCTTTTTTAAACTATTATTTTGGAAAGACTAAAAACTGTTATTAATTCTGTTAAGACTTCTCTCCCCACAATATGACATATGTATCTTAAAGGTGTGTGTGAAGGTGGCAGTATGGAGGGAGTTACTAAAGCACAAATTGAGTGTTACGTAATAGAGAACAAAATGACTGATAGAAATCAGACCCAACCTTTAGCGACCTTTGGCCTGTTTTTAAACTTTAAGTTTCCAATTTTTAGAATGTAGCTTTCTGTCCTTACACACAGGGTTATAATGACACAAGTGTACTCTAGTTCAGTTATTTCAACAAGATTTTTAATCCTGGGACTTCCCTGGTGGTCCAGTGGCTAAGATGCCACACTTCCAATGCAGGGGGCCCAGGTTCCATCCCTGGTCAGGGAACTAGATCCCATATGCCACAACCAAGAGTGTGTATGCCATAACTAAAAAAGAAAAAGATCTCACATACTGCAACTAAAACCTGATGCAGCCAAATAAAAAAATAAAACTTAAAAAAAAAAGAATATTAATCCTAAGAATCCTCAGTTCAGAATCAATGTCTATCTCTTTATTAGTGTAACCCTGGTTTAGATCCAACTGAAAGTAAATTTGATTCAAAAGCAGTGGATGGCAGCCAGCAAATAGGGATAACAGCCAAAAGATCAACCAGATCAGAATCATCTGCCCTCCAGCCTACTAGGGCCGGAAATTCTTTAGGGCAGGTACTAAGGTCAAAAGAGCAGACCTGGGTTTGAGTCTCACCCTACTACTTATGAGCTTCCCTGGTGGCTCAGATGGTAAAGAATCCTGCCTGCAATGCGGGAAATCTGGGTTCAATCCCTGGGTTGGGAAGATCCCCTGAAGAGGAGGGCATGGCAACCCACTCCAGTACAGTTGCCTGGAGAATCCCCATGGACAGAGGAACTTGGTGGGCTATAGTCCATGGGGTCGCAAAGATTCAGACACGACTGAGTGACTAAGCACATACACACACTACTACTCAAGGGGTATGTTTTAAGGGTTCCCTTATCTGAATAATGTGACTCTTTAGGGGAGACTTTTATGACAATTGGCAATCACAAGCCAGAATCAAAATTGCTGGGAGGAGTATCAACAACCTCAGATATGCAGATGATACTCTAATGGCAGAAATCAAAGAGGAACTAGAGACTCTTAATGAGGGTTAAAGGGGAAAGTGGAAAAGCTGGCTTAAAACTGAACATTCAAAAAACTAAGATCATGGCATCCAGTCCCATCGCTTCCTAGCAAATAGATGGGGATAAAGTGGCAGATTTTATTTTCTTGGGCTCCAAAATCACTGCGGATGGTGACTCCAGCCATGAAATTAGAAGATGCTTGGTCCTTAGAAGAAAAGCTATGACAAACTTAGACAGCATATTAAAAAGCAGACATCACTTGCTGACAAAGGTTGGATGACATCACCAACTCAGTAGACCTGAGGTTGAGCAAACTCCGGGAGATTGCCAGGGAAGCCTGGCATGCTGCAGTCCATGGGGATGCAGTGTTGGACACAACTTAGTGACTGAAGATGATGAGTTGTACAGTGCTTAAGATAATAGCCACAGGAATTGTGGGCACCTAAAGAAAAATTGTAAGGATATGGAGGACTGTATTAGCTGAAAAAACAAAAACCTCTGCTCTCCTTTGGTGGGGGAGGATTATACTTCCCCAATCCTCACAGATACCAGACTTTGACTATGTACGTGACTTGTCTGGCTGCCGAAATTTGTTAATGACATATGTCACTGTCCAACCTAAGTTTGAAGAGCCAGCCGATTGTTTGCAATCTCTTTTCCCTGTCCTGAGACTGGTAACGCTGATTGAAGGCTGTTTTGGGAGTAAAGTGGAGCCCAGCCACAGGCAAACCACAAACATCAAGTGATACTGAAGATGTTACAAAAAAAACCTTACTAGTCCAGAGCCACCAACATACCACCAGATCCTTTATTTAGACCCTCTCCTGTACAGATCAAAGGCAAGTAACTGAAAGGATGTTCAGATAATGGCATTTTCACATGCTCAAGTCAGCCTGTCGCTGCAATCTCTTGGAGTGAGCTGAAAACATCTCTAAATGTGCTAGTGAAGAAAGGGAGCTCATGAGAAATGCAAATTCTTGGGCCCTACAAGTCTTCTCAATCCTCTGCCCTCCAGGCAAGCTGCTGCACTTGCTTTAGCCAGTTACATACAAGAAGTGATATGTGCAACAGCTTTAAGAGCCAGCACATGACCCATTGTCTTCTCACTCTGCCAGATGGAGGCTGCTTCATCAGCCTGGGACCAGGAGTATGTAGCATAGCCTAATCTGACCCACAAGTCTGGAGACATGTACTTAAGTTTTGTAATTTTGTAAACCACTGAGACTTTAGTCCCAGTTACTGTAGCAGCACATCTTAATAGAAATACAGTAAGATATGCACTTTTCTCATAGCATCTCATTTTTGTGAGTTAACTAAGTGACTTTAAGATATACCTGTATAATAACTTCAAAAGGTACTTTCAAATTGGTATGGAAATTTAAAATGAATTCTTATTGTTGCAAGCAGAAACTAAGGTATGACTGCTAATACAATTTTTAAAAAGTAGCCCTATATTGCAAGAATTCTCTGGGGTAATGGAACTGTATTCAGCATCCTGTGGTGGCAGTCACATTACATGTTAAAATTCTTACAACTGTCAATTTTACTGTTAATTTTAAAAGTAAAAAAAGTTTAAGGAAAAAAGTATTCATTTAAAGTGTTATCACTTTAGGAAGACAAGGTGACACTCCTAACACAACTTATTTTTTCAGGCATCTTAGAGAATAACTACCTAGAAGGGAGCAAAAAAATTAACTTTTTTTTTTTTTTTTTAAAGTAAACCTCAGTTGTATCTGGAGAAGGAAATGGCAACCTACTCCAGTATTCTTGCCTGGAGAATCCCATGGACAGAGGAACCTGGTGGGCTACAATCCACGGGGTTGCAAAGATACGAGTGAGCAACTTCACTTTCACAGTTGTATCTACAAAATGGAGCTACTAGTCCCTACTTCATAGATTGAGGATTAAAGAAACTAAAGAAAACTAAAGAAACTATCAAGAAAACTATTATAATATATATATAAGGCACTTAGTATCTTTACAATACAGACAATATTAAGAGGAAAAACTCCACTCACCCACCAGAGAATATTTTCTTATAATTACACGCATCACAAAGCATGGAAGCCCAAGACCCACTGGAGAAAAAGTTTCCAAACATAAGAACTTTATACCACCACTGTTACTTATACTGTCATTTTAAATCTTTAATCAGATTCCATTCATCATTATCAGTCATATTACATGCCATGATTAGCTTTCTATAAACAATTTTGCCTTCTGTGTACAAATTGGTATCAATGAAATAAAAAATAAAACCATATACTAGGCAAAGAACTTTATTTATCTTTGTCTCAAACTTTTTTCTTAGGCTTCTTCAGCTTCATTAGCTGCAAAGAATAAATTGTATATAAGCAAAAACTGAAAAGAGCTGCAGTGTCCAGGGGCTTAGGCTTAAAAATATTAGAGATCTAGATTTTATCAGATCCATAAACAAAATTTTAAAAAGCAGTCATAATATAAAATAGCAGCTCCCAGTAACTTCCTCAAGATTTATCTTCTTCAGAAGTTAACTCAATTCAGTTTGCTTCATTCTTGGAAGCCTCATCAAAATTCTCCACAAGATCTAGGAAAAGGAAAAAGAAAAAAAAGAGAAACTCAGAAAAAAAGCCAAGTCTAAAAAATAATCATCTGTTGTTAAAAAGGAGATAGGGAAATGCTCTCAAAATATATCCTACAGTTAAATTAGGATATATATTAAGACATTTTTTATTTCCAATGAGACCACTAACCATTTGATATATTTTGAAGTGTATAATTTGACATATAATTAACATAAGGAAAAGAGGGAGATACTAATTTTCAATGACACAACTACTACACTTAAAGAATATACATGTCCTCCCCATTCCCACCCCACTTTAAGAATTACAATTTAGCAGTGTAATATATGAAGTCATGTTAGGGCAGAATCAAAGAATACCACTACACAATGTGAAGTTTTCCTGGGTACCTCAGGACACCTGTCTATGCAAAGTAGCATTTCTGAGTCTAGGCAGTCTACTGCCCAATGTTTGTTTCACAACAAAGTAAATTATCCAGTAACAGCCAGGATAGAAAAATGCCTCACTGTTGCCAAACAAGTTTTTCTGCTGATTTTAGTGATTATATACCAAGATATTTCTACAACTTCTTCATGCCTTTTCGTACATCTATGGATCTCATACCTCAGTGGGAAACAGGTGATTTGTGATCTACAAGTAGCTATTATACTGAGGTTACAATATACATACCTATTAACTCAATATTTAAGGTTAGATACCTTCCTGGGATTCCAAACAGAAAAACCAAGCCTAGAAACCGAACTTCCCACTGAGCAACACTATTTTTCTCCTTTTCCCTCTGCCCCGCTTTACCCCATGACCCCCCTCCCCAGCTGATCTCTGCTATGGTGCTGAGATCCTCTAGTTTGACCACAAGCGAAGGCTCCTACCTGGAACTTCATCATCATCCTCCTCTCCAGTGGCAAGCGGTGCTTTTCCATCCACGGCTGTAAAAGAAAACGTGCGTGTTCAATAAACATTAACCAAGAGAACAGCAGATGAAAGCTCAAATGCTGTTATGACTTAGGTTTATGGTGACGTGGGACTTCATCTATAATACTAGCAATAACATGATAGTCTAATGTCCACAAACAAGCAAGAATACTAGTACCAGTCAACACACCCAATTCCAAATCCATCCTTTCAATCCCGCTGACCTACAACAGGGTAAAGGTAAATCCACATACCAAAAAACCTTTACTGAAGTGAAAATTAAAAAACCCAAAAAACTAAAAGTGCCTTTAACTGATAAGCCTCCACTTTCCTTTTACTACACAAGAGAGTGAACTACACTTGAGAGGTGAGACCTCACAGTACTAGCCGGGTACAATTTTCCATGGCGTCCTTCAAAAGCCTACCTCAGCTATGAAAGCAGGCTTTTCAGCAAGACAAAACAAGCAAACACACACACATACAAACTGATTAAAGCAGAGTGAGCAAATGTCAAGAAGAACATGCATGACTAAATAGCAGGACATATAATAAATCTATCTTGATTCATTATTTCCACTGCTCAAAATTTTAATCAGAGGCCTTCAGCATAAAGTAGCTATCCCCCTTATGTACACCTATTCAACCACGCAACATTCTGCTCTAAACAGAATCCTCATTACACCATAATCCAGAATAGTGGCAAGCCAATTCTTAAAGACTGTTGGCAATATACCAGTTGAATTTGTAAAACTAAAGAATATATTTTAATATATTTCAATCTAAACTGCCATTCATTTTTAAAAAGTCCTCATTTCCAGCTAAAAAAGGTAAAATTAATTTTAGTCTCTGATTCAAGAGAAAGCTAGTAGAAGAAACATTTCACTTAATCAAGTATAATGATCGTAGCATACTAGATAAATTACTGAACACACTAAGAACACCAGCTTAAAATCAATATAAAAATTGATATTCTTTAGAGGAAAGTTTACATTTCCAAATTTAAAGATATTCCTATCCATTTGCATCATAAATTTTAGAACTCTACTGGTAAGTCAGTAACCCTGGGCAAAACCGCTACTAGCAAACTCACATTGTTTGGGCAGAGCTTCAGCCAGTCTCCTTAAACTGGTCAGACTGTCGGCACCAAGCTGGTTTAAGATGCTGGGGAGCATTTCTGTCAGTTGCTTTGTCTCAGCGTGGCCTGTAATGGTGAAAGTGTTTGCTGCCAGAGATGCCTGAACTTTAGGGTTGTTAAAGTGGATCACTGTTCCTTGATTTGTGAACATATTCACCTAAAAAGAAAAAAACAGTGAAGTCACTCAGTCATGTCCGATTCTTTGCGACCCCGTGGACTGTAGCCTACAAGGCCCCTCAGTCCATGAGATTTACCAGGCAAGAATACTGGAGTGGGGTGCCATTTAATTTAAATTAGCAACACCCATCAAAATCTCTTTAAAACTGAACATTTTATTAAGCAGAAGTCTAAGTAACCTGTATTTCACTGTACTGCAGAAGCAAAATTCTGCCTGAAATGTAAAGTACGACCTAATCGCTTTACACCTAGTAATCTCCCTGATATTAATCAAGTACAAACAAATATTTTAGAGATGAAATTCTCTGCTGGAAGTAGAGTCAAAAATCATAAATGCACGAACAACAGTTTTTAGCCAAATCTTAATTTTGTGAAGAAATAAAATTTGACACTTACCTCTTCAATACCAGAGATATTGTTTACCCCTAACTTCTTTAAAGAGAACTGAAGTTTTTTGTCATCTGCTGTGGCTGTTCTATGAACCACCTTCTTCTTTCTGCGAGCAGTTCCCTATTGGAGAGAGAAAAAGAAAGAATATAGCACATGTTTATGCCAGAAGAGGCATTTTCAAATGGACAGTTTCTAATTCCTTTCTGACCTCTCAATTTGTGTTAAGAAAATTACCATAACCACAACCTTTTATGCAGTGAGTAGGCATATTAAGGCACTGATGAAAGCCAAAAGAGGGGAATAAACAAAACTGCGTACAAAACCTTCATAATTTTTACACTTCTAGTTTTGTTGGATATAAAGGAGTGATCTTTCCCAAGTTTTACTTTTTCACATTATCTGCTCTAGAAATTATGAGGTAGCATGTGCCAACCTTAATTAAGCCTCATTTAGAAACTCCATGTTGATAACCATTATTTAACCTTCTGTTTTTATATTAAAGAAAAACCAACATTCCTTAATATTCACAGGCAAGATCCTAAAAGACACAAGTCTATATACAGACTTCTACAGCACCCAAGAGTAAAATCTGAAGTTCTTAACTTACCAGGCCCCTACACAATCTGCCCTGCCCCTACGATGCCACTCTTGACACTATGACACACACACTTACCTTTGGCCAAGTAAACCTTCTTGCTGTTCCTTAAATAGGCCAAATATGCAAACAGGAGCCTCTGCATGTACTGTTCCCTCTTCTAATATTTGCAGGACTCCCTACCTCACTTCAGATCTCTGCTCTTATGTCACCAAACCTGAGTGGCCTTTCGCAACCAACCAGTGAAAAATAGAAATTCCCACTCATTTTCTATCTATCCAGGTTTTTCTTCAATCTAGTACAGTATCTGACCTCACTGAAGGCATACAACTTGATGAATGAATAAAATACCATCTTCAGGAAAACTTGCCTCCTGTACAATTATGTCAAATCTCCAAATCCCCCTCTTCTGAAAACTCAAGCCATCACCTCTTTTGTGCCTTCCCCAAACTGCAGTTAACACCCCCAAACCAAATCATCACGATGTCTGTATTTTGAAAATGCTTCTATTTCACTATGTATATTACACTATGAAAAGTTTCTTTTTTAAAAGATGCCTATCCCCCCACTAGGGCTAAAGTCCCCCTCTAATGACTTTCAACTTCAAATTTTATACTCTCAGGATTGAGCAATAGTAAAGCCTTAAACAAATCACAGTGTACCTGACGAAACTATCAATAGCTACAAAAAATATGGGTTATGAAACCCCTCAAAAACCTCTAAGAATAAACAGTATCTTGAAGTGGTCATGCAGATACCCTAGCTTCCCAGGAATTCTCTCTAAAATACATCCCAAAGAATTACCTAAGATTCTAAAAACAAAACCAGTCTGCATTCTTTATGTTTCACACCCTTGACATTCAATTTTTACTGAAATAATTTATTACCAATGCTCTGACCAGATAGTGAAAAAAAGGGCTTTCATGGCATTTACCTAAAAATACCTAATGCTTGAAGATTTCTCTAAAGCAACACTAACTCATCTATTTTCACATACCACAGTAAGTAGGTTTCTTAAAAGGTAAAGAAAATGTTTTCCACATTACAATGATGACAGACTACCTATATTAACAATTAAAATTTACTCGTACAACAGCCTTAAGAATCTTCAACTTTCCTTTACCCTAGAATCTCTTTCACAAGTTAAAGACTAATGATCAGATTAACAACAACAACAAAAGGCACACAAGCACATTACTCACGTGACTCCTCTGAAACCTGCACTAAAAGGAATGATGATTAACAACCTATAAGAGCTCCCAAACACTGACCCAGGAGGAATGAGTCTTCTTGGCACCTGAAGGTCACATCTAGCTTATAACAATTGCTAAAGAAGAAGAAACACCTACTACTGTTAATGGGTAGGTGCTGATCTTGAAAACTAGCTTTGGGGGAGGGGAGGGGAGGATTAGGATACTTTCACTGTTGGCAAAATCAGTCCTTAATAGACTACTTGAAGTCAAATGCTTAAAGTGGGAAAAACTAATAGACAATAAACTTGGAGCACGGAAGCTTTACACAAGTTTTACCAAGTAAAGACATGTTCTGTTTCAACAGGCTACCACACCTTGTTAAGCACTAGGAATGTGCTAACACAATGCAAAATAAAATTCGGTAGACCTCTGGTAGAGTGGACTTCTTATTTAAGCAAACTAGAGAATCTAAATCTTACCAAGTTCAAAAAAGAATCCCCTTGAAGGGGACCAGCAGCCACCAGGAAAAATCAATTAACCAAAACCTGATCATTTAAAAACCTGCCACTCATCACTCCCATTTTCTCAGTTTTAATGTAATTTCAAAAATTGAAAGATACCTACATAGTATTTCCAAATCCGGTCATTGCTCTTGCATTCCTATGCAATGTACCTATAAGAATGACATCTTCAAATACCCCAGAAATAATACAACTACTCTAGACTGCATTTAGCTAAGAAAAGATCACAGAAACGTCTTAATTTACAAGTGACCGGAGCCACTTGAAAAGACAAGCGAAACTTAAATTCAGTTAAATTTAGTTGCTTATAAAAAAATCAAGCACCAACTTTACACAACTTAGGTTATAAAGTCAATGACAAAACAAGCAAGGGTTTAAGGGCCACGTGATGACCTAACTGAAATGATACACAGGCTACATTTCTAATTTAATTCCTGCCGTTCCCTCCACACGATTTGCTAGTTCGATGAAATGCCCTCTCGAAACAAAGTGACAAATCAGTTATATTAGAAATGCAAAGGAGAAGAAACCTAAACCACAAAACTTCACAACAAAAAACCCCAACTATTTAAACTTACTTTCCCACCAATGCGCACTTGTGCCTGCAGTTTGGCGAGTTTCTCCTGGTTCATGATAGTTTCTTTCATCTAGAAAAACAGGAAACCCTCAGCGAGGAAAGCTCTAGTTCACTCCAGCATTCCACGCTCGTTATTTCCCAAGACACCAGCAGAATAAATGTCCTACACAGGCAGAGGCCTGGATCCCAAACCCACCCCGCCAAGCTCCTGAAATTTCAATTTTCGAGGGAGCCCAAAGAGCACCCGCTTTCCCATCCCACTCCCACAACTCCCCAGCTCTTTACAAGCCCAGAGAAAGGGCTTTAATCCACGTCTGATAGCCACCCCCCCATCCCCACCCCCACCCACGGCCCCGGCCTGGCCTCGGCCTAGCCAGGGCCTGCCCTGCCCGGCCACTCTCCGCAAGCCTCGCGGTACCTGAGGCTCCTGTCCTCGGGTTCCGCCGGGAGGTGGAGGAAGAGATGCCGCCGCCTCGCCCCCAGGGCAGCCGCCCCTGGCCCGACCTCGACCCCGAGAGTCAGCCTGAGTGGGTGCGCCCGTCCGTCGCATCGCCTTCCTCTCCTCAGCCCTGTCCCTCCCTGTCTCGCTCTTTCCGGGAACTTCCCGCCCCCGTTCCCGTCCGCCTCCCACGCCGGCGTCCAGAGCCTTTTTGTACCTTGTTGGAGCGGAAATGGGGCCGTGCGGGGGACTAGGGTTGGCGCTCAGGTGGTCTCGGGCAGACCAGCTGAGGTTAGGCGCACACACGCGGGGACGCAAGATGGCAGCTAGAGGGAGGCGGGAAGTGACGCAACACCACTTCCTCCAAAAGTCAGGAAACGGACTTCTCCGAGGGCTCAGTGCCTGGCTGCGCTTGCGCAGCCTCAAGGGTCCGCGTTTGTGACGGTTTCCTGTGCCCTCCTTTCCTCGTTCAGCAATGGCAGGGTTGAGACCGCACGAGAGACTGGGCTGGCAGCACCGCGAGTGACCCTGGGAAAGGCTGTGGAGGGTCCAGAGAACACGGTTCTTTGCACAGTTAGGGTTGAGTAAGTCTCCCTGTCTCAGGGCCCCACCCCCAAGTCCTTCAGGCTCGGAAGACAGCGCCTGTTCACGTTTGCGGAAATAAGTGGGGCATCTAGAGTGTGCTCACCTGTTTAGCCACTCTCCACTCGCTGGGAGGCGTAGATTGGAGCGATCATCGGAATGTTTTAGAATTTCCCCTTCCGCCCGATTTAACCTTTACTAAGAGATTTTGTAAGAAATGAGGCTAACTTAGCTTTCCAAAGTTAGGTTGGTTGCCGGACCGTGGTTCAGAATTTCTGGGAAGCGTGTTCAGAAAGCAGACCTGAGTCCCATCTCTCAGCGATTCATTGTGACTGAGGATAGGAGCAGGTAATCTGCATTTCAGCGGATGGCTAACCACTTTGGATCCGTGAACTTACCTTATTTTTTATGAGTCTTAGATAAAAAGTTGACTACTTGATACCAGTAGGCATGGATTTGACTGTTAGCGATTCACAGTTGAACACATTTTACCTTTCTGAACTGAGTAATTCAGTCAAAGGAGAATTTGTGCCCTGTGTGCTTGGGAAAGTTGAAAATTTCTACACACTAGGACAAGCTTTAAGACAGTCTTAAAACAACTGATATTGAAAATGGCAGTTTAAATTATATTGCTAGCTGATCAGCCTTTTTGTGGTCTTAGTTAGGAAAAGTCTTTGCATATTAAAAAGTGATTCGGAAACCTAAGCTAGAGAAAATATAATTTATGTAAAGCAAGAAAACTTGTCTAGGTGCAGATTTCTTTCCAATTAAGATTAACATTTCTGTTTTTGAATACTTATCTAATGTGAATGTGTCAAATTGTAGCATCTCAGAGAAAAGAACTGATGAGGACCGCAGTGTTGTTTTTTAGGATAGTGTAACAGTTGATGTTTTCTCAAAAAAACAATGTTGCTTCTATTATTAAATATGAGTCAAGTTTACTAAAGAAAAGGGAGTTTGTACTGTTAGGCTCTAAGGGGTCACTATTTTAACAATAAATTCTGACTCTGCTAATATTTACATATTAGTCTTTAAAAGAAATAAGAGATTCCTCCCTGACTCCCTCCCCAGAAAATAGCTACTAAGTTGCCATCTTAGCTCAGTGAAGCCAAATAAGTAACTCATGTATTACCATTTCCTCCCAGCTCCCAATGTCTATGACAAATATGGGTAATTGGCTCTCACACTTTATTGCTGCTGCTGCTGCTAAGTAGCTTCAGTCGTGTCCGACTCTGTGCGACCCCATAGATGGCAGCCCACCAGGCTCCACCTTCCCTGGGATTCTCAAGGCAAGAACACTGGAGTAGGTTGCCATTTCCTTCTCCAATGCATGAAAGTGAAAAGTGAAAGTGAAGTCGCTCAGTTGTGTCCCACTCTTTGCGACCCCATGGACTGCAGCCTACCAGGCTCCTCCGTCCATGGGATTTTCCAGGCAAGAGTACTGGAGTGGGTTCCCATTGCCTTCTCCGACTTTATTGCTGAGCTTGAACAAGTCTAAGAATCATTTACCGAGCACTCAACCTGGCCATGCCCACTCCAGTGTTCCTGCCTGGAGAATCCCAGGGACGGCGGAGCCTGGTGGGCTGCCGTCTGTGGGGTCGCACAGAGTCAGACACGACTGAAGCGACTTAGCAGCAGCAGCAGCAGCAGCAGCAACCTGGCCGTTGTCAATAGGCGAGAAAGGGGAAACCTGCAGTCCTCTTTGGTTTACAGTTTAATCAACGTCCACCAATTGTTCTCATTTCTCAGCTGTGCTTGAGTCAGTTTCAGTAAGAGCTAAAACATTATGTTTATTTCTTAAGAACCCTGTTCTGACCCATAAGAAGTGTAAGGAGTCGCTGAGGATAAATGTTCCCATGGTTTTGCTTGCTTCATTTTCTGGCCCTTGTCTGATAGCCACAATGGACTTTTTTTTTTTTTTTAAGTTTCTAAACCTTAAATTCTTCTCCTAGCACTCCCCACCTTGATTAAGTTAACAGCTATACCTCATCTAGCGCTCAGTTTAAGTGTCAGTTTAAGTGTCTCAGGAAAGCTTTCTTTGACACCCTCAACCTCTTTAAGTTACATCCATCATACTCATTTTTAGTTGTGGTATTTTATTAAATGCAAAATGAGAGTGTGATAATTTTGTTGAGTAAATAGAGAATTGAGAATTACTGAACTAGGGTCTTAACAATTTTCCACTGGGTTAATACTATGTTGACTCTCTGTTGAATCCTCACAGAAAGCTTATGAGGTAGGTATTCCACATACTCATGGCGTGGGAACTGAGGCTTAGAGAATTAAAGGTGTGAAAATAGACATACACACCAAGTCTGTCCACCCAGTCTGTCCATCTACATGTCTCTGAACGTGTTTATTGTCTTCCCTCCTGTTACACGTGAAAGAAATAGTCCCTCTACTTGTTTCACTCAGGACCTTGATTCTTCTGTTATTGCTTCCCTCTTATATCTGTTTTCCCCCTTTCAACTAGATCATTCTGCCAGTACACAGAATATGCCTTAGTATCAGGTATCTTAACAGAAAACAAAACAAAATTTTGACTTCTTTTCACCTCCAGTAGAGTTTCTCTGGCTCAGCTGGTAAAGAATCCGCCTGCAATGCAGGAGACCTGGGTTTGATCCCTGGGTTGGGAAGATTTCCTGAAGATGGGAAAGGCTACCTACTCCAGTATTCTGGCCTGGAGAATTCCATGGACTGCATAGTCCATGGGGTCGCAAAGAGTTGGACACGACTAAGTGACTTTCACTTCCCCTGCAGTCACTGTTTAATTTTTGTGTTCCTTTTTATAGCAAAATTTCTCCCCAAACTGTCTAAACCTCCATCTTGAAAAATCCAGAAGCAATTCTCAGTTCTCGTTTTAGGCAATATTTGACTCACTTGGCCCTTCCACATTTTGAAACGTTCTCTTCTCTAAGCTTCCAGAACATCTCACCGGGTTTCCTTTTACTTTATTGGCATCTCATCAGTCTGCTTTATTTTCCTCCTGTGACTTCTAAATATTAGAGATGCTCACATCTTAGTCCTATGTTCTTTTCTGTCTATACTCTCCCTAAATGGTTTCATCCCATCGTTATAAATATCTTCATTTTGGTAAGTCCTAAAATTATAATTCCAGTTTTTTGAATGTCAGACTGAACATTCTTTTTGCATTATTATGGAAAACTTCAGACACATGAAATTAAAAATAATATAATGAACCTCCATAAGTTCATCACCCAAACATCAACAAGTATTAAACTAACACATAGACTCATTGTTCTTTTTTTAACTGATTTTTTTCACTCACTCATACACTCACATTAGTATTTTAGCCATGCTGTGCAGCAGGCAGGATGTTTTCCCAACTGGGGATCAAACCCTGACCTCTGTAGTGAAAGCACTGAATCCTAGCCACTAGGCCACTGGGAAACTCCAGACCCATTATTCTTAATATGGTAGGGTGATTACTTATTTTTCATTTTTGAAGTTGATATATTTGCAGACCTCTGTTCTGTATATATTTTAGGTTTTGTTCAATTATTTAAATTTTTTTTCCCTTGGGATTGATTGTGTAGCTTTGGGAAGCTTTTTGAATCTTTATTCATTAGTGTATGAGTCTGCATTCAATTGCAGGAAATGTATCTGGCTATTTTAAATGTATACCGATTTAACATGGGGAATTGGTGTTCAGAATATTGTTTGAAGGGTTGGAGGAGTAGGCTGTCCGAAATGAGCCCCAGGATAATACTGCCAAACTGGGCTGTCAAGGAAACTACTACCGCTGTCCCCACCCATCAGGATGATGGAGAATCAGGACTCCACAGCTGAACTTTTTGATGTTAAGAATATACTACTGTAGCTACAATTCAAAAATTTAGAAGATATTGTAACAGTAAATACTCAAAGCAAATGACTGTGCTTTGGAAAGCTGGTGCAGAAAATACTAGGATCTTAATCATGCCCACCAGCCGAAAAACAAAGGAGCAGAAAAAAGCCTTTTGTCTTACTTTCACCTTCCAAATTTTACTTAAATGTATCCAATTGACAGAAATCACTTACCTCTAGAACTCTAATTGCCTGCAGAATTGTAGTATTTAAATTTTCAAGATTTATAGGACAAGAAAGCAAAAAAGTTTGAATGGTGAATCTTCATATTTACAACCACCACAGTGCATCTATTTTTCAAGTATTTTATGCACTTCAGTAGAGATAACTTTTTGAAGATCTTATGCATTCCTTGTTAGCTGGATTCCCAGATATAAAATAGTCCATTTTTTTATTTTTTAGATATTGTAAATATCTTCTCGTGGTCTATTACATTTGTAGTATCCTTGTTGAACAAAATCGTTACTTTTTTACCTCAAGGTGATGCATCAATTTACAGAATATATGAGCAACAGAAAAAAATAAATTATTCCACAGAATGCAGTCAACAAAATTCAGGTTACAGGAAATGACAGGACAGCTAATCTGGTATTTCAACAAATAAAATTTAAAGTAAAAAAAGGGGGGAAAGGAGGAGTGAGGGGGTTCCTTAGCTAGAAAGA